GTTAGTTCAGATAACATTGTTTGCAAATTTGTAAGGATCACAAAAAAAAAAAGGTTGAGTTCGAGCAGGCCAAGTGCTTTTTTTTTTTTTTCGTAAGGATCACAAAAAAAAAAAAAGGTTGAGTTTGAGCAGGCCAAGTGCTTTTTTTTTTTTGTTCAGCTCTTTTGATTTTTTTTTCTTCGGAATTAGCTCGTCTTTGAAATGTCTCGTGAATAGCATTTTCGTGTTCGGTTAGATTCGGATTTGTTTGTTCGTTTCAACTTATGTTTAGCTTCAAATTTGCTAGAATGATCTGAGAAATAACAAAAAAAAAATTTTAAATACAGCAGAAATAATCAATATAACAATGTTACAATACAACAACAACAACTGTTACAATATTATTAATTATTTAATTATTTAATTACTTTGAGCCAAAAAATTCGAAGACAATAAAAAAATATTGGGGTCAAACCAATCCGGGATATTTCTAGTCGAGTTCAAGTTAAGTTAACGTGTCAGGTCAATTTTTTAAACTCCTAATTTACATGACTTTTTCCATCTAGTCTTTCACTTACCAACTAAACAATTGATGGATGAAAAAAGATCATGAGTTCAATGTAAATTTGTTGGAAACAAATTGCTTTCTCTTATTGAGTTCGAATTCAAATAACCTGGCAAGTACTAGAACTTCTGCTTTTATTGCATGCAGACGAGAAGTGACATATGAACTTGCTGATTTAAGAAGCTCAAGCTTCCAGATGAGTGTTTCCTTCGGTATAATGTCTGACAAATCCTAAAACATAGCATAAATTACACTCCTACACACTTCAATATCATGCAGAGAAAAGTAGATTTGATAAAAGCGAAGAGTTAATAAAAGGGGTTGAACATATGGCATAGCAGAAAATGTAAGATATTATGTAAAGATTTTTTTCCCTCATGTAAAACAATTATACGAGTTTTGTTTTGCCATTTTTAACAATCTAAGAATATTTCTTTCATGAATATCAAAACTATGAAGGCCTGATTCAAAAGCATCTCCCAATATAAAGCTTAAATAATCAGCCATCCAAGTACTATGGGAGGGCCTAAAAGGGTTTAACAAAATAGGGTAATAAATTTAACCAACAAAGAGCGGAGCATCATGGATATGCCAAAAGACTATAGAAATGGTAGGTTAACCTGTGTAGACCAAGCCTAATCAATGTGGCTATACTAGGTTTAGCATAAGCCTCAGACTCTATAAAATATTTGATTTAGTAGTCATACTCTTAAAATAGAAGCAAAATGATCCCATAATAAAAAATAATGAGAAGTAAAGTTATAAAGTTAACGGATTGTATTAAAAATAAAGATACTTTAAGAGCTCACACCTTAAAATTTTTACAAATATTTTTTACTTTAGCCTTATTTGAGATATAACCCATCAATAATATTCTCAAAATATTTTGCTTCATGTTTAGATGCTCATGATAAAATTAATATATATTATATTTATAGATTTTTATAATTATCATTGATAAATTTCCTACAAGTTTTTCCATTTTAAAAAAGTTATTTATTAAAATTTATAAGAATTTCAAGATATAAATTCCTAAAACACTCTCATTCTTAAAACCACCCTTAAGTTTAACTTTAATTTTCACTATTTTTAATGCTACGGCCATTTTAGCTCTTTTTAAGACAAGAAAAACAGATATTTTATCTGGCCTGAGATAAAAATGCAACTCTTAGTTCTTTTTTCAAATAAAATAAAAAATAAGAGAATTGTTTGAGAGCACAAGTGGCAACACAATGGGCAACACCCCCTTCCCCTTTCCATATGGCTAATATGGTTAAAATTATCATTTAAAAAATATTCTCCATGGTAATCAATCCATTTATATAATATTTTTTTAATAAAATATTTAAGTGGTTATAAAAAGCTGAAAAGGAGGAGCATGGCTGTGGAATGTTTTGGGAGATTCTCCTTTTTCATCCTATTATTTGGAAATTTTCAATTTTTAATGGACGCAATTAGAAGAAGCTGAAAAATCATGCATGAAAGTCACTTCAGTTTTAATTATTGAGTTAGAACAGTCGGATTTTTTTAATTCTCTGCCGAGAAAAAACGTATTCATCGTTGAGCTTGATTTTTTTTCCTTCACTCCCTCTATGTGTTTTTTTAACCTGAAAGGAAGATGACTTAGGGCTAAGGATTAAAGTAGAAGAGAACTATGAGGGGGAGGAAAAAGAAAAGGAGGAAATTCAAGAAGAGGAGAAACATAGAAAGGGCTATAGAATACTAATCAACCAACAAATTTTTAGAATTTCATTGCAGCTCCCACTGTTCCTCAATAAAAAATTAAGAAAAAAACAAAGCTCTTTCAATTTCCTCCAATTCAAACAAAACTTTAAAGGAGAGGCAAGGAGAACATACTGAAAGCCTGGGTAACAAAGCTATAAGCCTTTTTGACAATTCGTCAAGAGTTTGCTGAGGAGAAAGGCCATCAGGAACAGTAGCCATGGCCATCTTCACAGGATCGCCTGTATTGAAAGAGCTGAATAATCAAATATAAAATGGAGGCATCAAGTTATATTGCATTATTCATACGAAAAAATATATGCTTTAATTTGGGTATAATTTTATAATGTTTCCCTTTTCCAATATGTAGAACTACTTCATGCCTTAAATGACAATTGTTTAGGCAATACGGAGGAAGAATTGATTTTTCTATGTGTACTCTCTTCACTGAAGACAGCAAGAAGACACAACGCTCCAAAATTTAACAAATGAATAACGAAAAGAAAAAAAAAAGTGTTAAAAGAATCCCCTAATTTTTTGTAGGGATCATTTTAGTCACTGAGTTTATGAAAGTGTGACAATATAGTCCCCGGATTCTTTAATATTGGCTGAAATAATCCTCACGGAGGCTATTTTATTACAAATTTGAAAAAGTTTGAAAACTAATTTGACACTTTTATAGGCTCGGGGACTAAAATTGTCCTATGTAAACAGTCAGGAAACTACTTTTCAGAGGACTACTTTGGCACTTTACTTGAAAAAGAACGAGTTCAATTGTTATAATTCAAGAGTCATATTTGCCTTTTTATAAGACAGTTATTCCATTTTGTGTCCTGTGAAAGGACTACTTACATGGTTATATGAATGTCAGAAAATTAAGGACAAAAATCAAATTAATTTAAAGGTCAATTGCAGATACCATCCATGTCTATATATTGATAACTTCCAGTAAGTATTCTAATATTCAAACACTCACTAACCTGAATGCACCTTTGCTTATTATGATGAAGATAAAGGTCAAGCAGGGAATGATTACCAAATGATGCAGCATACTATAATAGAAAATGATTTTCATAATAAATTGATGAAGATAAAGATCATGCAGGGAATGCATACTATTACCAACATTTGGATCCCTATAACAAAGTTAAAACAATAAATCACAATGATATTTTCTTATTGCATAGTACTATTAATGAGGGAAATAATTCATTCTATTTTCCAAATAGAATTAGTGCATAAATTGAAAAATTCAAATAACAAATCAAGAAAGGAAATATAAATACTATGTATTCCTAATTAAGAAAATATAAATAATAAATATAGAATATCTTGATTTTTTATTTTTCAATTTTAAAACGATAGCACACAACCACAAACTGTTGTGTATATGTCATGGAGATCTAGCTTGTTGCAAAAATTAAGAATTGAAGGATTAGGGCTCTAAAAGTTTGCATGTTGGCTCTCCTGAGATCATAACCCATGCTCTCTTGAAAGAGTTTTGATATGTTTCAGGTCAAACTTTTAGACGGTTGACTCGATTATACATAAAACACTATTCAAAGAATTCAAGCCTCTATGATTAATTATCTCTCCCAATAGCTAAAATAACTTTGTTATTGAAGTTAATCGTCAATGAACCAATCGTTTAGAATATAATAACAATAATTTGTTTTAGATTAAGAAATTACCCATGCTACTTTAGAGCATATGAGGATGAGAAATAAAGATCAATATAACAAGCTCATATGATTCCATCAACTTAGATTGTTATGATCTCTGATCTACTTAATTAGTATAATTAGTCCACCCAACTTGAGCGAGGCATTCTTACCGATAATCATGAGCTGCATCATTCAAGGGAGCATTGTAAATCTACAACGAATTTTATCAAAAGAAATGATTTTAAGTTGACCTTATCTAACAAAATACCTTTTTCCCTTTCAAGTGCGCCATATAATTGAAAAGTCAAACAGATGGGTAAATAGGAAGCATATAAGCTTTGGTAGTAAGTGTAATATAATAATGTTATTTTGCGGCAAATCACCCGGATAAATGGCTCTGACTAAAATTATTTTGTATTTTGCAACAAAATCGTATAGACGGAGGACTTAAGTCACATTCTTACTAATGTGAAATATTTGGAGAGAAATGATATAACATTACATCTTTGTGAACTTATATTAATCTTAAATTTGTCACATTCAATAAATTGGTATGAAGGTGGGTGAATTTTATTTTTGACCTTAGGTGGTACATTTCAATTAAACATTTTTAAATTGAAAAATTTACTCATACATAACATCCAATTCTTATACATTTTATTATCTCACAACCAAATTTTAATTTTTGCATGAAAAGCACTCTAATCTATGTATGAAAAGGTGGATTATACTATTTCCACCTTGTCATACATAGGAAAGGTGTTTACCATGTAAAAATCAAAGTTTGGGTGTGAGATTGGTAAATGCATAATAATTGGGTGCTATGTATGTTAATTCCTCTTTTAAATTTCAAGACTACCTTAAAATCTTTCTTCAATTGAGTGATTGATTATAAATTTGTGGACTAAAGACCTATTTTGATGAGTACAAAAACGACAACAAGCCCTTATCCCACTAAGTGGGGTCGGCTACATGAATCATTTCTCTCCATTGTGTCCTATTGATTGTCATATTTTCATTTGATTCTAATAAGATCATTTTTTATACAATATGCCCAAATTTTTTTAGGTCTACATCTCTTTCTTAACATAAAAAGAATCCAAACCATATATTCTCTTAACAGGATCATCAGATGTTCGATATTTAATGTGACCAAATCATCTAAGACGACTCTCTAATCTTGTCTGCCTCCATAATTCAAGTTTTGCTTAAACACATTCTCTAGTCTTAACCACAAGAAGGATATCATCAGTGAAAAGCATACACCATGATAAATCCTCCTGTAAATGTCCAGTAATTGCATCCATAACTACAACAAAAGATATGGGTTTAAAACCGATCCCTGATGTAATCCAACTGAAATAGAAAAATACTTGGTAAATTCTCCTTCTATTTGAACACAAGTAACAGCTCTAGTATACATATCTTTAATTACTTTTAAGTCATATAAACGTCTTTCTTCTCTAGAACTCTCTAAAGAACTTCTCTTGGAACCTTATCATAAGCTTTTTCTAAATCAATAAAAGTTTTATGTAAATCCTCGATATTCTCTTTGTAAATCTCCATCAAACCTCTCAAAAATGTATAGCTTCCATAGAAGTCATGCCCAACAAAAATCCAAATTGATTATGAGAAATTTTTGTAACACATCTTAACATATGGTCGAATACCCTCTCTCATAACTTTAAAGTATGACACATTAAATTAATTCATCTATAATTTGCACTCTTGTGCATCCTCATTAATCTTAAAAATAGGGACCAAAATACTCTTCCTCCACTCAAGAAGCATCTGTTTCGTTTTTAAAATAATATTAAAGAATTTGATAAGCCCAAAAACTCTCAAATCTCCTAAAAATATTCACATTACAATTGGGATATGATCAAATTCTACCGATTTTTCACCTTTGATTTTCTTTAAAACCTCCTCAACATTTTTTTACTAATAAGATGGTAAAAATAAAATATTTTATTATTAATAATAATATTAAGATCACTAAGGTCGATCGTTCTTTCAGAAACTTCATTGAAAAGTTTATCAAAATAGCTCAACCACCTAGATTGAATATCTTTCTATAAAAAAACACTTTTACTTGAGTTATATTTTTACTTCTATTTTTTCTTTGTTTAGCTAGTTTATACATAATTTTCACTTCTTTAGTATTTAAGCTATCATAAAAATCACTAAAAGTGAAATTTTTAAGTCACAAATTGTTCTTTTAGACTCCCTAAGGATCCACCTTATATTTTTCTCAATTCTCTAAGCTTTTACATTTAAGCCAATTTTTATAACACAATTTCTTATATTTTATCTTTTCTTGCACATATTAATCCACCGCAAACTACTTTCATTTATAAAAAAAATTTCCTTTTGATTCACCAAATACATCTTTTGCCCCTTGCTTAATAGTGTTTGTTAATAAATCCTACATAGAAATTGCTTTTTTATGAACATTTCAAATATTGAAATTTTGAAGTTATCAAAAAAAATACTTTAATTTGTCTTTTAAGTGCCCTCATCTAACTTTATGACAATGATTCCTAGTATTCTTTACAAATCTTGATCTGAAAATCCATAAGTAATAATCGATATTAAGTATTTAAATTCTCACTTGGAATGACCTTACAAATCTTTACATTATCCACGATCTCTTCTTCACATAAGAAGATAATCAATCTGTGTTTTATTAGATCCATTTTTATAAGTAAAAATATGTTCATTAATTTTCTTAAATAAAATATTAACAATAACTAAATCATATGTTAAAACAAAATCTAGTATGACTCTACCTCTTTTGATGCGTGTTAAGATAATTCATCTAAAGATGAAGTCTTTTTAACTTGCGATGCCAAGGACACAAAAGATCAAAACTCAAGGGATGGGTCCTAGAAACTTAATCTACAGGCGAGAAAACCCAATTTACAAAGAGTTCCCATTTTGATATTTCCTTTTCTTTTTTATTTTTTATTTTTTATTTTATTTTTTTTTGTAAGAGGCCTTGTAAGCCATTGTTGACCTCATTTTTTAGGTCATTTCTTTTTCCTTAAGGTCTTAGGATCTGGCTTAGGAGTTTCTATTGACTGTCTTAGAAAACTAGAATTGAGACCCACCCTTTTAGAGATTCTAGCCGCTTCTTATTTCCCTTTGATGTCTAGCATTTTTGGCACAAGACCATCGTCTTATGAACGAGCGGTTATGGGTTATTTTGTGAAGACTCAAGCGAAAAGTTCCTAATAGAACTCCAAGTTTTAGGAAAACATCATCACGACTTTTTCGTCACACACACACACCAAATGCACAAAATTCACAAAATTTCACGAAATCAAACTTCAATTAAGCCCAAAGGACGGGTGAAAATGCGAACTTCTCCGAATGGCCTCCGACGACTGGGACACCATTTTTGGTAGGAAAAGACACTCACATTGCTATATTTTCGACACGAGAAAATTGACACGCAAATCGATGAATTCGTTAAAACGACTTCCAACGGCAAAACAGACCGCGCCAGCACGTCCGGAACGTCAGAATTATGCAAAAGTGATATCAATTTTGCTATGTTTTGATGCATGGGCGAAACACAAATTAAAATTTTATTTTTCAAAATATTAAATATTTTCTTTAATATAAATATCTTTAAATTATAATTATATTAAACCTAAGTCTTATTTAGGTTCTCACCCGCTCGCTTAAACAAACATTTCGGCCTCGCATTCGACTCGATCCCTCGGCTCATCCCGCTCCTCGCCGTGCCCTAACTCCACGGCAAATCCACGCGGCAGTCTTCTTCCCAAGCGTTTGCAGCTCGTCGCCTCGAGTTCCTCTCGACCGAGCAGCTTTCCAACTGCGAAGTTACACCTGGTCGACGTTCCTCCTACTCGAGGCTATACTCGCTCCCTCTTTATTGTGACTCTTCTTTCCTCTTTTCGATTGGTTGGTTAGGGCGGAAAACAGGTGACTTTTCGTTTTTTTGGCTTTTTTTGGCTTACGGTGTGATTAGAGGAGTTTTTAGCGTATTCTTTTGGTTGTCTAGCTACTCGAGTAAAAAAAAAAAGGAGAAAGGAAGAGGGTCCTTGAGAGGAGACTTTTAGAAGAAATTTGAGCATTTTTCTTTCTTCCTTTTTCACGGCTAAGAAAAAAAAACGGATTTATTCCTTCTCTGTTATTCGAAAGAAGTTTTCCCTTCCTCTCTGTTGTTCGAAGAATTTGCGGCTTGGGGAACTAGAAATCCGAGAAGAACTTTTGCGTGAGGCTTGCAGGAGAAATTCCTGTGGTGTTTTCTTCAATCTTATTTTAGTATTTTGCTTTGAGTCTGCACTAAAGAGGTATTCTTCTCCTCTCCTCTATTTTATATCATTTCGGATGACATGAAATAGAGAAATTTATTTTGAAGCTTAAGCATGAGTATTTGCTTATATAGTGAGAAATGAAACATCATATATGGATCATCTTTACTTTCCTTACTTGAAGCGCTCGAAAGCATGGTTAAGGTGATCTTGGAATGCATTTTTATTTCTTTATAACATCTTTGAGGGCTGTCTCTATTACTTTCGATTTGGAAGTATGAAATGCATGCTGGAAATTATTTTATGAGATGGAAAGAAAGCATGTTTGGGCTTATATTTTTATTTCCTCTTGCTGCCCCTTATCAGAATATGTGTGGGAATTTTTTTTTATGTGCTGGAAAATTATGTTTAAGGCTCATTTTATGATCCTCTTGCTGCTCCTTGCTAAAATATATGCTGGAAATTACTTTTAAGA